TTATCAAGTCTAATAATTTGTTATGGAGCCCTTAGGGTTTAATAGGTACAGTATCATGTCATCTGCAAATAATGAGAGTTTTACATCTTCTTTTCCAATTTGTCTAATTGCTATTGCTAGCATTTACAGTAATATGTTGAACAGGAGTGATCAAAAAAGTGGGCATGCCTGTCTTGTTCCTGTTCTTAGGTGAAATGGCTTTAGTTTTTGCCCATGGAAAGAAAGATTTATAAGACAATCCCTTTTACCATCGCACCAAAAAAATTTAAGATACCTAGGAATAAACTTAACTGAGGAGGTAAAAGACCTCTACCGGAAAACTACACAACATTGAAAAAAAAGATAGAGGAAGACATAAACAGATGGAAGAACATACCATGTTCATGGATTAGTAGAATCAACATCATTCAAATGTCCATACTACCCAAAGCAATCTATAAATTCAACCCACTCTCCATTAAAATACCAACGGCATATTTCACAGACCTAGAATGAATTCTCCAAGAATTCATCTGGAATAAAAAAAGACCCCGAATAGCTGCAGCAATCCTGAAAAATAAGAACAAAGTAGGTAGGATCTCAATGCCAGATATCAAGCTGTATTACAAAGCCACTGTTCTCAAAACTGCCTGGTACTGGCACAAGAACAGACATACAGAACAATGGAATAGAATAGAGAGCCCAGAAATTGACCTGAACCAATATGCTCCATTAATATTTGACAAAGGAGGCAAGAACATACAATGGAGTCAAGACAGTCTCTTCAATAAATGGTGTTGGGAAAATTGGACAAATACATGCAAAAAAAAATGAAACTAAACCACCAACTTACACCATACACAAAAATAAACTCAAAATCGATAAAGCACTTAAATGTAAGATGGGAAACTGTAAAAATACTAGAGGAATCCAAAGGCAACAAAATCTCAGACATATGCTGAAGCAACTTTTTCACCGATACATCTCCTAGGGCATTGGGAACTAAAGAGAAAATAAACAAATGGGACTACATCAAAATAAAAAGCTTCTGCACAGCAAAAGAAACCATCAACAAAACAAGAAAGCCCACTGCATGGGAAAATATATTTGCCAATGTTATCACCGATAAGGGTTTAATCTCCAACATTTATAGGGAACTCATACAACTTAACAAAAGGAAGATAAACACTACAATAAAAAAAATGGGCAAAGGAACTAAATAGACACTTTTCAAAAGAAGACATGCAGAAAGCCAAGAGGCATATGAAATCACACTCTAAGCCACTAATCATCTGAGAGATGCAAATCAAAACAACAATGAGGAACCATCTCACACCTGTCAGAATGGCTATCATCAACAAATCAACAAACGACAAGTGCTGGAGAGGATGTGGAGAAAAAGGAATACTCATGCACTGCTGGTAGGAATGCAGACTGGTGCAGCCACTAAGGGAGATAGTATGGCGTTTCCTCAAAAAGTTAAAAATTGAACTTTCATTTGAACCATTGATCCCACTTCTAGGAATATATCCAAAGAAACCAGAAACACCAATCAGAAAGGATATATGCATCCCTACGTTCATAGCAGCACAGTTTACCATAGCTAGGGTTGGGGTGTAAGAGATCAACCAAAGGACTTGTATGCATGCCTACAAGCATAACCAATGGACACAAGACACTGGTGGGTAGCGGAGGCTGAGGGAAGGTTGGGGTCGGGGAGACAAATGTACTACTTGTAATATTTTAAGCAATAAAAAAAGGGAAAGGTTTCCAAGAGTCCCAGGAAAGCTCTGCTTCTAGCTTACTGATAAATCCTTAAAACCCACGGATATGCCTTCACTTTGGAGGTATTTGTCTCCCTTCCAAAGCACTTTCTCCTAGGAGAGATGAACTCTTTAAACAGCTGCCAGTGGGTTACACATGCTTGGGCAGGTGCTATAAAGCCTATCTTTGGAACAGTTTTGGTAACCGGAAGGGCCTGAGGATTTCAGGAAGAAGAAAAGTGGATGAGGCAGGTTAATAAAAACTAAGGAAATTCTCTGGCAAGTGAAATGAGGAAAAAGGAGACAAAACATTTAAACAAAGGGCCACGCAATCAACAGCCAACTAATAAATCCTAAGACCCTATCTTCCATAATCAAGGACATTTAATCAAGGAACAAGCGGTTACAGCTCTACTCCCCAACCAGAGAATGAGTAGCTTAAACCACCCTAGTCAGGTAGATAAATAACAGAGACCCTGCAGTGCCATTAGTGCCAACCAAACCCAAGAACCAATGAAGTCAGGGGAATAAATAACAAACAAAAAATTAGTTAGAGCCAGACAAATCCAAGATAGAGATAAAGATGATCAGAGAATGATCCCAAACCCCACTATATGCTTATTTGATACATAAGC